AGGTCTGCCTCGCCATGTGGTCACCTCCGGGGCAGGCGGGGCTCGAACTCATGTGGAAGTGGCTTAGGCTTCTCAGTTCTGTGTTTCAACCCGCTGCGCCCCCAAGGAGGGTCCTGTATGTGCATTTTTAAATGCACAGCTGAGCATGCAGTAAACAGGGGAAATGACCGCTGGTGTCAGCCAAAAGCCAGAGTGAGCAGAGGAATCAAAGGGGCAGCTAATGCCCCTGGGGAGAGAGGTGAGGGGGGGGGGTGTGGGGAGGGACAGCCCAGGCGCTGCTCCAGGGGTATGAGGCTGAAAGCGGCCCGGTCAGCCTGCTGTCTGAGCCCTTCGGGCCCTCCCGGCCGAGAGCCCCTCTGACCGCACCTGCACCGCCGCGCCCGCAGGCCATGTTCGAGCTGGTCACTTCCGAGGCCTCCTACTACAAGAGCCTGAGCCTGCTGGTGTCCCACTTCGTGGAGAATGAGCGCATGAGGAAGATCCTGCACCCGTCCGAAGCCCACATCCTCTTCTCCAACGTCCTGGACGTCATGGCGGTCAGCGAGCGGTGAGCAGGGCCTCAGCTATGCGCCCACCCCTGTGGGGTCCCTGCCAGCCTGCACGCCCCCGGCCCAGGGCCCCTGCCAGCCCTGGGCCCCTCCGGCCCAGCCAGAGCTCCTGGCTAGTGTGTGTCCCACTGGCTTCTCTATTTAAGTATGTTTGGAATTTTCCATTAGTCGACATAATAAATGGATGAACCCCGAGATCTGCCGCCTCTCAGCAGCGTGGCCAGTCTGTCCCTCCCAGCACATAAGCCCACCGTAACCAAGGGGACGTCAGGACCAGGCCCGTTGTCCAGGTCACTGTGAGCCCGTCAGCAGCGCTGGCCCGAGGCCTCTGGCGGCCAGTGCGGAGTAGAACTCTGGGTCAGCCTGTGTCTGCCAGCGGGGTTGTGTGCTCCGGTCTGTGGGCCAGCTCGGGGCACTGGCTGTGCTCACCCTCTGGGCATGGGGCCACGGGGCACCCTGTTGTTAGGTTGTTAGGGTGACAGCGTCATTCCTCGTTTTCACCCTAGGTAGGTTTGCAGCTAAAAATGCAAAGCTCAGATTGTGGATCAGCAGGTCTCAGTGCTCAGATGTCAAACCCGGGGGACTCCAGAGGGACACAACACCCCAGGGGGCTCCCTGGGAGCCCCGAGCATGGGGCTGCCCCACCCCCTTTTCGTTGCTGGGGGCAGGCGGGAGCCCTGAGACCGCTTAACCTGAGACACTCAGTACTGCCTCGCCCTTGGAGGGGGGGGGGGCGTATTTTTATTTACATTTTTATTTATTGTTTATACAGAAAATAGCCGGCAAGCCAGTGCCAGGGCCACGCCCGGCGTCTAGTTCACCCGCATGCCACCCTGCCCCCGTGGGTCACTCTGGGCCACGCCCTGCTGTCCCTCGGGTCACCTGAAGGCCCCTCAGTGGGATCCGAAGACCCCTCCCCTCCCCTGTCAACACCCCTGAGGCTGTTGTCCACCACCAGCCACACAGGCCCCTGCCCTCGCACGCTGGCCGGGCAGGCCGGCTCCGCCTGTCCAGTGTGCCCTGCCTCGCGCCTCATGCCAGCTGCCGCGCAGGTTTCTCCTGGAGCTGGAGCGCCGGATGGAGGAGAACATCGTCATCTCGGACGTGTGCGACATCGTGCACCGGTACGCGGCCAACCCCTTCTCCGTCTACATCACCTACGTCAGCAACCAGACCTACCAGGAGAGGACGTACAAGCAGCTGCTGTGAGCGAGCCCCGCCGCGCGCCCGACACCCCAGCTCCCGCCCGTCCCCACCCCGC